TCTAACTTTTGCCAATCCATTAGGATCTTAAGTACAAGATGGAAGATGAAAGGGATATTTTTTGGCGTATGTGTGTGTGTGTGCTCAAGATCAAGGTCAAGAGAGTATAGGTAAGACCCTTGTTGTGTGAGAGGGGAAAGTGAGGACAGTGGAAGAGTAGGTTGGTGAGAGGAAGGTTATGAGTGGAAGGGATAGTACCAGGGCTGAACCCAGTAGCTAATGTGTGTGCTTGAGCTTCTCGTCAGTTTTCTGATCTACAGTACTAAGACCCAGCACCTCACACCCTCGACCAGTGACCATGCTTTCCTCTCATCTTCAGTCCTCACTCTCATTCAGTGTTTTAAATCCCCTGCGTCCTATACACCCTGTCCTTGTCTTTCAGAAACCCTCATAAACTTCCTCTCGGTCGTACCAGTCAAACCTCGCATTTTTCGTTTACTCTCTCAGAACCATCCCCTCGCAGGCTACCTTTCTTCAAAATTCCATACAAAATGCAGACAAATTCTACAAAAAAAGAAAATGCACATTACGAGAAAAGATCAAGGAAATTAACCAAATAAAATAGTATCAGTAGAATCAAATGTAAGAGAGGCATTTTGTAAACAACCCACATTCAGAGACGAAACTTCTGACGATCTCTCGGTCAGTTGTAGACCATTATCAAACCACAAAGGTAAACACTGATGCGATATTAGAAAATAATGAAAAACATAACAGAGGAGGAGTAACTCTACTGAGCAGAAAGCAATCGAGGCTTAAAGAAGTTCAAGCAGCAGAGTACAATGACGCTCCCTGAGACCCTGATGGAAATAGGGGCAACACAGAGGGCAGCCTCACCAGCAAATATGAGAACATTTTTAATCTTAGATCTCAACCAGATACAAATGGACTGGAAGACAAGAGACCACCATTCAGAAAGATATGAAGATTAGTGGATATTGCATCAAAACATTTTCTTCATCAACATTCTCAAGGTTAAATGAAGATGAGGGGAAAAGATGAACCAACCAGGCTAGATTAACATGCAGCAAGAGTGTAGCTGACACTGAGGTGGTAGAATATAAAAGTACCTCTTAACAGCAAGTAACTTTTATATCTTTTGTGTATGAGTACATACACAAAAGAAGGTGAAGGTAAGATAATGGAGTAGATAAAAATCCAGACTAACTGCTCCTGCACCTGCTGCTACTGCTGTTGTTGCTTCTTCTTCTTCTTCTGCTGCTGCTGCTGCTGCTGCTCCTGTTTTTTCCCGTGCTTCTCCCTATTCTTCTACTGCTCTGTTGTTACTTTTGCCTCTCCCTCAGCTGTATCTCGCCTCTCTCTCTTTCCCAACCCATCCATATCCTTTTGTTTACCTGACTCATTTTCCTCAGGGCCCAGCCTCAAGGATCATCACTTTAACAGGTGATTATCATTGATGGGGAGACGAAGAAATGTCTGAGGTTGTTCTCCAGTGACCATGGTAATGAACTCTCAGATGTTCGCCACACAATAAACTCGTCATTTTGGCAGAGTTTTCAACACACCAGAGATAAATCTATGGCCTGACTGCTAGGTACAAGGCCAGTGTTCTCCGGTTCCTTACCTGCTCAGTATCGCTGAGAGCCAGAATACATCTATAACGCTACACATATGGCAGCCATCAGCGGTTTCACTCTGTGTCTTTCTCATGGAAATCACTCCAGCCTAGGGCTGGCAACAGGTTCTCACAACACGTGGACATTGCAAAAATATTAATACAGTGAAAGCTCCGACCAACCAATATAATAACCTTATTCTACCACGCTCAAGGACGATCCCGCTAATGAAATCAAAAGACTATAAAACAGTCTGGGTTTAACGCCACTCGATAAATTAGCTAGTCTCTGGACGGATTTAAGGTCAAAATCTCTATGGAAATATATATTACCACACCCACCTCTGCTAGCAGAATATTAATTTATCTGTTGTGTGAGTTGAAGATTAGTTTGGGAAAGACATCAAGCGCATTAAGGTTGGCTATCTGTCCTGACTAGCAACAGATCAACTGACCTGTATTTCTAATTTCTCGCCCTCACATGACCAAGCATCTTCCCTTCACTACCACCACATCTACCCACCACCACATTTACTATCTACCCTTCAACACACTACTTATACTTTATAAAAAGAATAAATTTATTATGCACTGCCATGCAACATGAACATTTTAAACCACGACGCTCATGGCATGTTGGCGTAGAATTATATAAAAAAAATTAGCATGAGTTATTTTGGAGGTTATCAAGTCGTCGTTATGGCACTCTTAGCAGCGAGCACCTTTAAGTGGGCCAGCTTCCTGTACCACAACCCACCAGAGCGCCAACATGCTGAATGCATCTCTAGGTCCCTTATTTCCATTACCACTACAAATGAATAATTTGACACGTGTGCAACATCTGGGTACCTTTATTTGTAAACGTTTCGCCATCCAGTGGCTTTGTCAATACAAATTCAAGGACATATGAGGAAGAGTAAAGAACTACATACAAAAGACGAGGTAATCAGTCCCTCAAGCTGAGGGACTCATTACCGTGTCTTTTATATACGGTTCAATAGTCTTCACATAATGTCCTTGAATTGTAGATAAAGCCACTAGAGAGCGAAACGTCTACAAATAAAGATACCCAGATGTAGCACATCTGGCTAATTCTTCATCTTGTTTGTACTGTATACCATTTATGAAGCTACTAAGAGGTGCCAGGTTTGACTCCTTTGTAACGATGGAAAGTAAAATTACCTTGAAGAACTGCGTACAACATAAGGACGGAGGATCAAGCCTCCATTGCGCTGATTGACCCATATGAGTTTAACGCTACACGAGGTACAGCATACGATGCATACAGCATACTGCCCAGAATTCCATGTAGTTGTACGTAGAGTGAAACACTGCAACTCTGTTCATCATTTCCAGAGTTGCCGAGGCTCTCCGATTTAGAAGTGTTAATTAAATATAACTGACGGTCGTGCATGGCTAGAAATATTTTGACGGTGAATGGTTACACAGCTGTCACTGGAACGCTAAATATAACCTTGTCCGTACAAACTTACAGGTGCGCCCAAGATAGCTACAGGTGAGCCCAGGATAGATGCAGGTGCGCCCAAGATAGCCGCAGGTGCGCCCAAGATAGCTGCAGGTGCGCCCAAGATAGCTACAGGTGCCTAAGATAACTACAGGTGCCAGGATAGTTACAACGCAAGATAGCTACAGGTGCCCAAGATAGCTACAGCGCAAGATAGCTACAGGTGCGCCTAAGATAGCTACAGGTGCGCCCAAGATAGCTACAGGTACCCAAGATAACTACAGGTGCCCAAGATAACTACAGGTGCCAAGATAGCTACAGCGCAAAATAGCTACAGGTGCCAAGATAACTAGAGCGCAAGATAGCTACAGGTGCCCAGATAACTACAGGTACCAAGATAGCTAGAGCGTAAGATAGCTAGAAGTGCGCCCAAGATAACTACAGGTGCGCCCAGAATAGCTAGAGGTGCGCAAGATAACTGGTCTCAGACCGGACCCCGGGGGCGTTGACCCCCAAAACCCTCTCCAGGTAAACTCCAGGTATATCATCCATGAATATATATATACATAATATACATATATACAATCACCACGGAGAAACGAAACAAACGTGTATATACAAAGATCTTTCTCTGTATATATCCGTTAGTTCCTGCGTGGTGCATTAATATAAAAATCTCTTGTAAGGTCAAAATATACAGGAGAATGAAATAGCTTGAACTATGGTGTTTGTGTGTGTGTGTGTTAGTTAGTTACCATTTTGTCCTAGGCACATGTCGATTAGACACTAGGCCTGTTGTATTTGAGTGTACTCACCTAGTTGTACTCACCTAGTTGAGGTTGCGGGGGTCGAGTCCGAGCTCCTGGCCCCGCCTCTTCACTGATCGCTACTAGGTCACTCTCCCTGAGCCGTGAGCTTTATCATACCTCTGCTTAAAGCTATGTATGGATCCTGACTCCACTACATCGCTTCCCAAACTATTCCACTTACTGACTACTCTGTGGCTGAAGAAATACTTCCTAACATCCCTGTGATTCATCTGTGTCTTCAGCTTCCAACTGTGTCCCCTTGTTACTGTGTCCAATCTCTGGAACATCCTGTCTTTGTCCACCTTGTCAATTCCTCTCAGTATTTTGTATGTCGTTATCATGTCCCCCATATCTCTCCTGTCCTCCAGTGTCGTCAGGTTGATTTCCCTTAACCTCTCCTCGTAGGACATACCTCTTAGCTCTGGGACTAGTCTTGTTGCAAACCTTTGCACTTTCTCTAGTTTCTTCACGTGCTTGGCTAGGTGTGGGTTCCACACTGGTGCCGCATACTCCAATATGGGCCTAACATACACGGTGTACACACGGTGTGTGTGTGTGTGTGTGTGTGTGTGTGTGTGTGTGTGTGTGTGTGTGTGTGTGTGTGTGTGTGTGTGTGTGTGTGTGTGTGTGTGTGTGTGTGAGTGTGTGTGTCCGGGCTGGGAGAAACATGGCTTATTAACAAGGTTGCCCAGGTTCTGAAGCATTTGTGGCCGAGTGGTTTAGAGCGTCACTTGCGAACCTTGCCAGTCTTCCTGACGTGGCTTCGAATCCTGCTGACTGCGATATATATATATATATATATATATATATATATATATATATATATAATATATATATATATATATATAACATATATATATAGATAATAATATATTTATATTAATATAACAGATAAATATATGTATAATTAATTATTATATTTTAATATATAGATATATAATATATAATATATATATATATATATATATATATATATGCAAGGAAGTTATTTACGTACAGGTACACATAAAAACAGCTACACAAATTATCGCACTTAGATATATGTATAAATTACCTAGGATAACACCCAAAATTGTCAGTGACTTATTTCCAATGGGTTTCTTGAAAGAAAATACTCAGGAAACTATTGGGGAGGATTAATTCTACTCACCATAGCAGTTCTTCCACCAAACTGTTCTTGAGCATCAAATATATATTTGCTAAAGGAAACGATGGGAATATCCACGTCACTAAAGGGAGACTTCATCACCCAGGAGTCTCTGTCAGAGCTTGATGAATATTTGCAGGCATGACAGTAGTAATATGTCACTCTGGAGGGAGTACAGCGAGACCAAGGACCTGTAACTTGACGGAGCAGCGAAGCACATCGTAGCGAACCCATTCCTTCAGCGACCGCGACAATACTGACCCGCGAGAGACGCGGAGTCATACACTCGCTCGCTGCCGACCCACGCCGCCACCGCTAATGTTAGCGCAACTCTATTTACCAATCTCTACATTATAAATAAGGTAGATTATTAAATATAGATTATGTTAAATAATCAGTGATTATCGGTATGAGTGCAAATTCACTGTGTGAATTACATATTCAAGTTTTTATAGGATATTTGAGAGGAACTAAATTCGACGCACGGAATTTCAGGCAACATTTAAACTAACAGAAAAATTATGTACAGTTGTGTTACACGGCTGAGGGACGATGCATAAGATTTAATACAGCTTTATGAAGGCGAGTAACGGTTCTTGAACCATGAACATTTATGACGTAAGAGAATATATTTTCACATGCCACAAAATAGAGCGAAACACCAACGTCAAAGACCTGGGAGTGATCATGTCGGAGGATCTCACCTTCAAGGACCATAACACTGTATCAATCGCATCTGCTAGAAAAATGACAGGATGGATAATGAGAACCTTCAAAAATAGGTGGCCAAAGCCCAGATGACACTCTTCAGGTCACTGTTCTATCTAGGTTGAAATATTGCTGCACCACTAACAGCACTTTCAGGCAGGTAAATTGCCGACCTAGAAATGTACAGAGACTTTCACGTCTGATAACTTAGCTAAAACACTCAATTATTTGTATCGTTGCTTTTCCTAAACCTTTATTTGGAACCATGATGTATCTAAAAATACAACACAACATTCCCCAACTCTTTCAATAACCTCCCAATCCCTTCACCACCCCCCACCTCCCTCCCCCTCCAATTCTTTTTTCTCATCCCTCCCCAATCCCTCCTTTTATACCACTCTAACCTCTTTCCCACCCACCTATACCTTTTCCCTCTCATAACCCATACTCCCCCCACCTTTTTCAACCCCCCCCTCATTCCTAAACCTATCATTCCCACACACCTACCTAATCTTAATCTTCATATCATCCTTATTCACTTCCTCTCCAATTCTATCTTTCTCACATATTAATCACTTAAAATCACCATTCTTATAACTCTTTCTCTTTTTAATCCCCCTTCCCAAACTTACACAACTTAACATCCTTCATCCCCCACACACCTAAACCCCCTGCGACCGTGTGTGTGTGAAACACTCATAATCCATCAACTTCACGCTGCTCCACATACATAACTCTCACTCTCTCTATAACCTAACCTTTCATCACACCCTCTCCAGCTGTCCTTACAAACCACAACCCCTCATAAACACATCCCCATCCTAACATATTCACTTATTTTACTAACGCACTCCCCCACTCTCACTGCACTCTCCATATCATCCTCAGATAACTTGTTATTAACCAACTGACTCTCTATATAAAATTAACAATTAGATCAAGGTTATAATCCTAGTGTGTATACTACATATTACGTATATACTCACTCTCACTCCCCACATTGTTGCGCAGATCATTAAGTACCGGTCACTTTAGACCCATCTCCAATAGATAACCTCTATATGTGAGGTGTGAGTTAGACTGAGCAGTACCTCTATCCATGGCCGATGTGGGGGATCGGATCTCTGGTGTGTAGGTCTCAGCGCGCCTAGCTGATAATAATAGAGTGGTCGCTGTTTAGAGTATGTCTTTAGGCAGCCATAAGGTAGTGGATATACATCCATGGCCGGCCATCACTGGGGGTTGAGCGCTGAGCTGTAGAGAGGACTCCAGAAGCAACCCTGACAGCTTCACTCGTGATGAACATCCTCCTCACTGTTTTAATTCAAGCTTTTAGTCTTAAGTGTACACAGGTGACTCGACTGCCAAGCTGCTGGTTGGCAAAAGTGTTTCAAGAGGTGGGGCACATCCACAGCTATTTAGGACCTGTCAAGATAAATAAACGCTCATAGAAGTTCACGGATAGACAGTAGATATTTGGGTTGAGGATGCCAAACAGTATCCCAGGATAGATGTCCTCGGACACTGTTGTCCTGTAGCTGTCTTTTATCCTTCTTATGACTTTCTTCTTAACATCACTTATGATAGAATGGGGGAGAAATGACCCCCCCCACACCCCAAAAACCAACTCCAAAGGTAACTATAAAATTGAAACAACAATAAAGAGAAACTGGGGGTCCCGACAGTTAGTAGTTAGAAGAGACACTAGCTGACCCTCCTTGCCATGGAAACAGGTTCCAGGCATTGTATCCGAAGGTGAGTAAAGGGATTTTGAGATTGACTCCGTCCCACCGCGCCACCTTAGTCGCCCCAACTGCACAAACACCGTGGCTGAGGACCTGGTAAATGCAGCACCCATACAAGGAAACTCCATTTCAGATTATCTAAAAACCTAGTGAGACGTATTTTATCCCCTGATAGTTTCACCGGTATTCAAAAGCTCCATCCCGTACGTATGAACCACAGCCTGGACCTGATCAGCTACTGACTTTAGGTGCTATGAACGCCTTACTGAAGACAGCCAGCGGAATCTATTGGTAATCCCCCCTTATGTGATAATGGGAGGCAGTTGAACTTGTCTTTGGGATCCCTGATGCTTATTGTGTATGTCTCTTAGTGTACTCTTGCGTGCCCCTGCATTTTCAATGGGGTAATGTTGCATCTCCTACCAGACCAAACCAGACCAGGACCCATGCACGGGCCATGGAACCCCTCCTAAAAACCGGGAATCACTTTTGGGTGTTCACCTGCCTTCCTCTGAAACCTTGTTGGGATCAAAAACATCTTACTATTTTTTATGTATAAATTAGCTGGATATAATTTCATGATTTCTGACATCTTGTCATTAATTAACAGTGAAGTGATTTCCCATTGTCTGTAGGGTATCTCTAAATGGTGTGATGCATGGACACTAAGACATGATGTCTCTGTTCGCACAATGTATTTCTTATCACTGGGATTTCCATACAAACCAGCACTACCAAGGTTTTGTAATTTACTCGCCTTGTTACTGTCTCCATAGACATGTTTCACTTAACACATTTCATTATGTCTATGAATGGGTCCACTAATTCCTGTCTGTTCTGTTCTCCTCTCTATAACTTGTTTGCTAGTTCTTTCTTGACTGTGGAAAATACTGTATATTTTCCGGAAATACGGTAATTTATAGGTAAATAGATGCCCTATATTGTATTTAATAAAAGTGTATTTTTAAAAAGAGATGTCGCCATTTTGTTTGAATGGAGTAAGACGTTAATTAATACTGTTTACCTGGAGAGAGTTCCGGGGGTCAACGCCCCCGCGGCCTGGCCTGTGACCAGGCCTCCTGGTGGATCAGAGCCTGATCAACCAGGCTGTTACTGCTGGCTGCATGCAAACCAACGTACGAGCCACAGCCCGGCTGGTCAGGAACCGACTTTAGGTGCTTATCCAGTGCCAGCTTGAAGACTGCCAGGGGTCTGTTGGTAATCCCCCTTATGTATGCTGGGAGGCAGTTGAACAGTCTCGGGCCCCTGACATTGTATGGTCTCTTAACGGCTGTGACCCCCTGTTTTTCTTTGGGGGGTTTGTTTGAAGTTTTCGTGCTCTAGGGGTTTAAAATTGGGTTGACCCCTTTCTCAATAGGACGCAAAAAATTTGTTGGATGTGATTCCTGCTAACTTGAGATACAGGCGATGATTAGACAGTTCAAAAAACCTAGATAAGTCGGGTTTTTTTATAATTTGGGCCGGGTTGTTATTTTCTTTTATAAAAGTGGGTTTTTGAGTATGATACAATTTAAATCCCCAGTAAAAATTGGTGAGGGTTTTGATTAAGTTATATTCCCCCTTCTGTTTTTTAAATGTTTTATATACTTAATCCTATTTTTTTTTTAATATAAGTCCAAAAAAATTTTATTATTTACCAGCTTTCCCTGGTGGGGTATATTTCATTTAATTAATAGGTCCAAAAGGAACTAAAAAGAAAGGGGTGTCACAAAGCACTTTAAGGACCAACAATAAGTTTTAGGGCCGAGACTGTTCAATTGCCCCCAAGATACAAAAAGGGGGATTACCAACAGACCCTGGCGGGTCTTAAAAGCTGGCACTGGAAAAGGGCCCAAAAGTCGGTTCTGACCCCCGGGCTGGGGGCTCTTTACGTTGGTTTGCGTGCACCCAGCAGTAACAGTGAAGTGATATGCCCCTGGGGGGAGCACCCAACAGGAAAAATACTGCCCCCCCTTTTGGGGCCCTTAACAACAACAACAGTTGGTTTGTGTGTCTGGGCCCCAAACAATGGTGTTGTTTCTCTTTTTTACATAAAAATATTTTTAGTGATGCGGGTTACTTTGGTGGTTTAATGGAAAAAAATGGTAAAAATTTTTAAAAACCGAACATGGAAATAAAACCCAAAAAATTGCAGTATAATGTGATCCTTTATTGAAAAAACGTTTCCCCACACAGGGGGCTTTTTAAAGGTCACACACGGATCTCCCGGGGGGGGGGAAAGGTACGAGATATTTATGCCCAGTTCAGAATGTTGGGTCGGGGGGAGAATGCTGCATTTGATGATCACGGGGGGGGTTATGGGGTTTTGGGGGAGTTTGGAAAGGGGTATTGGACAAGTTGTAAAACCTTTTCTGCGTGTTTTGTTCTTTTTGGGGATAGCGATAAAGGAATTTTTCGGGCGAGGGGTTCGTATGTTATAGAAGCCATTTTTTGGGTTAAAATTGTTGGTTTAGAGATAAGCGATGTTTCCCCGGATTCTTCTGTATTGATTTGTTGTCTTCGTGGCTAAAAAATTTTGGGAGTTTCTGTGGGAAATTTAAAATGGTTGTGTGAATTGCGATGTTGTACACGGAAACCCTTGTATCGTCATTCCTGTTTGCATATTGGTGTTCTGAAAATTGCGTGTTTGGAGGTCTTTTTGATGTTTCGCCCACAAAAATTTTTTGGGCGGGCCCATTAAAAGGGGTTTTGGGTATACCCCTGAGAGGATGGGGTTTTGTCCTGTTTTCCTACTGGGGGAAGGTCCTTGAGGGGTCGGGGTTTTGTGGGGTAGTTTATTGGGAAAATGTTTTTTTGGGGAAAAGATGTTGGAAAAA